CAATACTTCTTTTCTTACTGTTAAAAATGGTTTATTTGGAATAATTTATTGGCACAAGAGGGGGCAACTGCCCCCATCAACCCTCCGGGCTTCAGTACACCTATGATAGTGGCTGAGGAATTCTAAGAGGCATACCAGCACTTCATCCTCTAAAACAGAAAAGACTGGGAGGCTCTCATGTGTGAGTGAAACATAAATACCTACTTGGCAACATATTCTAGCCAGACCTGCCCTTTTTATTCAAATAGGCCGGCGAAAGATCAAAACGGCATAAGATGTGACTCAAACCCTAGAGATTAATACAGTACTTTCAGGTTTATTGCAATCATGAACATGAGTTTATGAGAATGCATACTGAATGTACTGTACACCTCACCATCCTCACAACTTGCAGAGTCATGAGGTACCGTACATGTTGTTTTAAAAATATACTGCACCAGTAGTATGGTACTAATACTTCCCACTTCAATGGTTTATTTTGCAGTACAGTACTATCATACCTTTGCCTAACCCACTTTCTTTTGCCTCTATTAGAATTTTACTTAATTGGTATAAAGCTGGATATTTCAGCACCAAAATGTTGCATGATCTGCATCATTTTTGTATAAAAATAATAATAATAATCACTCCTAATAGGTGCTACATGTGTAGTGACAATGAGCCTGCCAGTAGCTGAATCATTATTTAAATAACACAAGCTGAGATATCAAGACTATAGTTGTGCTAGAACATTTTGTGACCACAGTACTACAATACAGTACATGGATAGTAACTAATAAAAAAAAGTTTGCCCTCTTAAGAGGGCCAAATGATAGTTTAGCCATTCCCATCCACCAATTTTGGGGAGCCAAAGGGACCCCCCTGGATCTGTCCCTGCTGTGAGACGAACCCTTAAACTGCAGCCATGAAAAACCCTTAAACTGCAGCCATGAAAAACTGGGTAATCAGTGTATGCATTCCAAAAAATTTTAAACTCTTAAAAAAAGGAGTAAATATTATTATGAAATTACAGTTAACCATGGAGAACACTAACAGAATATTGTACGGAAAAAATCTTTACTTATCATACAACTCCTCTTGTAAATATTTTTTATTGCAATAACATGCAATAATGGTCAGGGAACCACTTCCCTCCAGCTTATCAACCCCCTGAACCACAAAACATAGATGTTCCATCTCCATGCCTGATAAAGGTTTACTAAGGATACTGCTCACATGTCCTCGCTCTTGAACAAAAAACAAAGCTATACTGTTTGCAGTTTAGGGTTAAAATAACTTTAGTATTTTAGGTTAGGTTTGGTAGTTTAGTTTGGTTCATTTTATGAACAATAAATAATCGACACTCCATCGTAAAAACTGCCAGTAACTGTTAACATTCTTGAAATACCAAATACTGCAACATTGTATAATTCATCCTCCGGTATTGTAATTAAACTAAATCAAACTCATATTACCTAACTTAAAATAATAAAGTTATCTTGTTTTTCAACCAAGTAAAATAAAATAAAAATGGTAATACTTTAGACTTCCAACTGAAGGAGTGGAACCACTTTATGGAAATTTTCCATACTATATAAGAAAACTTAGTTTAAATCTAACGATGTTTTTATCATAGAGCTTCTCCGTTATACTGGGAGGTATCAGGGAAGCCACCATTACTTGCTGTGTGCGCCAAGACACAAACAACATTTCATAGACACAATTAACACTTCCATTAGATAAACTTCAAAAACTGACAGCAGATTATATTAGCTACCTATATAAAAATATTAATAAGAAAAACTTTTGTGTAAAATTTTAAATTATTAGTTCAGCAATTCTGTCCTAGCAGAGTTTCATACCTAAACAATGTAGATTCTTCTCCCCTCGTGTCATAAATACTTTATTGTAGATAAGATTAATAAGACCTAACTTCCTTAGATTCAAATCTTTTATTGTTACAGTATCTCTTTTATAGCATTTGGTAAGGGCATTTGTTTTTCTCATAATGTATAGAGTATTGTCAACAGATGTAAGAAGGCGAACATCGTGGTCCAAGTGGAATGCACCATGTTCACTCTAACAAAAACAAAAGAAAACCAAGAGTAGGAAATTTGTAATTTGTCTACCCATTTCTTTCTATTCATGACACCTAAAGTATAAGAAAAAAATAAAATCTTCAAAAAGAACCATTAGCTATTCACAATGTTAACTAAACATGGTGAACAAAGGGAGCTTGTCTGCGATTCCTGCAGACGGATGACATAATACGAGTAAATCTTATGTGATATTATACAAACACATTCCTTGGACAATTTTTGTCCAGATCACAGGAAAGACATCTTCATCTTCTATGAAGAAATTACCTATGGTAGTTAGTTAAGGAACACTTCTAATATGAATTATCCAATTTGTAAAAAAAAAGCTGATACTTGTACAGTACATGTACACAGGTACTGTACTGTATACTGTACCGTATTCAGCAAACACTGACAAAAGAGCCTAAATCATATACTGTACTGTACTGGTGCCGGGTTATGATTCATAACCCGACACTGGTACTTTGTGGAACAAATACCCAGTAGGTGAGTACAATGGCCAGATTAGGTCCTTTTAGTTATATTTCTAATTCCACATTTTCCCTCCGCTTCAAAGCCCTACCTATCTTTGGTGGGGTCAAGACTGATAGGGCATGAAAGGTCAGAATAATTAAGTTTTTCCTCTAACTTTAAATATCACCACTGCATTCAGCCTCATAAATTGAAGATTTTCTTTTTACCCCTAAATCATTTGCTGGTGTATGGAATAATTACCATGAAAAAGATGCTTTAACAGGTTAAACATGATCCCAATTCAGATCTGAAAAAGTACTGTTCCATGTACAGTTGCTTAAAAGACTATCTATACCCGGGGGGTCAATGAATTTTAGAATGAACACTGCAGCTCCTGTTGTCTTGGTAGGGCTGTCAAAATCCTCCATCTGTTGTGTCATATTGTCTAACATAATTTGGTAATGTATGAGAACACCGCTACAACCAGAAGGGCTTGTTTAATTTTGTTAATTTTTTCCACAGATGTTCTTATCATTATAGTAAGTACTAACCTAACCTAACTTCCTAGCCGGAGGGAGGACTTCCCACATATTAAACAGAAAGCACTTACACTACAGTATTTTGATATCTGGTACCAATGAAAGCAACTGTGTTGAACTGTCATTGGTGTGATTTCGTTTGATGTAAGCAAACTAAACAGACGACAATGTGCTGACTCAGCAGATTTTTTTTAGTAATATTTACGGTAAATAATTGATTTCTTCACGTACAAAGCACATATAAACATCATTTTAGTGTCATATGACCAATTTTTCACCATGTTTTACCCCACAATTTCTCTCATCCTTCATGCCCTGCCCACTACAGTATGGCTGTGTGAGGAAAGAAGGATGTACTACAATGGGTTATTCTAGTGTGACCGATATCCACATTGAAATGGTGGGCACCGCAGGAAAGACGAATGTTATGAGCCAACGGCCTTGCCGGCAGTACGCAGGATGCCAAATCCACCGAACATTGCCCGTTAAAGTACCTGTAAAAGAGAGAGAGTGAAGCAACATTGCGACGAAGAGAAAGGGAAGAAAGAGTATCTACACTTAACACATTTGCCATAACTACGACAGTGTCCACTATAAAACAGCGAAATTGCAGCATTTTTAAATTTGTTTTCTATGAAAAATTAGCGGCTTCTAATTATAATAAAAAGTTGTCGCCTGTTTTAAAATACTTACTATATAATGATAACATCCGTGGAAAAAATTAATGTGCAGTAATTGAACAATTCCTTTTGGTGGTAGTGGTGGTTCTCATAAATTACCCATATTTTTTTGTAAAGACAGTTTTTGAGTAACTGTACAATCCATACTGTAATAAGCCAGCAGAACTCTTCTTGAATATTACCAAACAAAGAGTCTCTTGAGTGACTAACTTGCCAGAGAGGACAACATGACCTTGAATCTAAGACAATCTTAGTTCAGTTCTATTCAGTATAATCATCATACAAGTTTACACTGAATATACAGTAGACAGTGTAGGTAAACGAGCAGCCCAAGCACCAAAAGGCCTAACTCAGTGGTAACTATTAATCGGGTAATGCAATGGAAAATATATTACCTGGGTGTATCTACTAATACCTTTAATTTTGGATTTAATTTATGGAAATGACTTTCTGTTCATTATTTAATCAATTGTTCTCCAAAATTCTAGTACTTCCTGCTTATACATTAGCTGGTACCTGAAGAAGAAACAAATTATTTCACTGACCTGAGATCAAGTGGATGAAGGTTCACGAGGGTGGCTGACCGCTGGATGTTCTTGGTGGATGAAACTGCACGAGGGTGGCTGACCGCTGGATGTTACTAGATAATATTACTTGAATATTAAAATACGGAGATGATCCCAACGAGAACTTTCCCCTTGACAGACACCTTCCTGAGGGACGTAAGGGCAGCTGTTGAGTTCCCGAGTCACTTTTCCTGTACAGTATGGTGTGTTTTATCAATTATCAAGACGTTCGTATCAATAATTACCGAAAAACAACCAAGATAACTGAGGTGCTTCGGAAAACAAGTCTCTCTTCAGTTAAAACTACAACGTTCCAACACTAACTATAAGGGTTTTAAACACTACAAGTAATAGGTTTATAAAAGGTTCTTGATCTTCTTCTGTTATCTTTGCCTTTACTTCTCCGACCATTAGTCTATACTCTTTATAAAATATATTTCTGGTTTCTTAAAAATATTTATTCGGTAAAAAACGTTTATTGAAAATATTTAATATATTTTATACATTAAAATATAAATGTATTTGTATTTATACAATAATTTTTATAATTTGTGTAAAAATATGATAAATATTTGTTTTAAAAGCTGTTGTACCATCATAGAGGAAGTAACTGTGTGTGGTGATGCAGACGACACACAGGACGTAAACAAACCAGTGGGAGGGAGTTCCTTTGAGAGGTGAAGAGATGTTTTCATGTTCCTCACCTTTAATGTTCAAGTGTTATTTATACACTTGTTTAATAGACACTTTTGCCCGGAGTAATATAACTAGTGAAAAGATCAACAATGTCTATGTTTCTCGCAGTGTACGAATGTGAAGGCATTAGCAATTATGGCACCGTAATATATCGAATTTACACTGAAAATCCCATTGTAGGGGAAGATAAAACACAGGAACGAGAGCACTGTGTATTTAGACTGTGATATACGGTCTTCTTCAGCTTGAGAAGATCCTAAGTTACGGTCAAAGTATTGCTCTCGTTTCTGTTTTTTCTTTACAGTGGGATTTCAGCGACATGATTTATATATGTGGTATTACATAATTTCTTAAGCTATCGAGTTAAGAGAAGAAAAATGGTGTTTATTACGTTAAGGTTGTTTATGGTGAGTTGTCCTTATAGTTCTTGATGTTACCTGGATATTCTGGTAGAGTGATTTGCTGCCTTTCCAGACAACAATTTACAATACAGGTACTTGTTGAGTCTGTGCTGGTGTTGCTCAGATAGGTCAATACAAGTGTCACCAGGGACCTGAATATTGAATCATATGGTTAGATAGAGAAAAAATGTGTAAAAACAATTTCTATAATGTTTCCGTCGGAAATTTATAGTTTTCGAGATAATCGAAATTTTTACTTTATAATAAAATTAGCCAATCGGTGGGAGTATTTTTTTTACGTCATAGTCGTGTGGGCGAATCAGTGTGAGTGTTTATGAGTGTAACTTTCGCTTCCCGATCAGCTTCAAGATGGATACTGTGTATGGCGCATGTACAGTCTCGTTCAAGATTCTTTGAACACTACTGGAGACAGCTTGCAATTCAAGGCCGTTTGTTTTCTATCGTATGTAGTAAAAACTACGAATGAATGTAAAAGTGATCTATGATTGGTTACTTAGTTCCCCGTTGTTTAATTAATGATTGGGCTTTGTTATTTTCAATTATATTTTGCAATGTACTATAGTAAACAAACGGCCTTGAGTTGCCAGCTGTTTCCAGCAGTGTTTGAAGAATTTTGAACGAGACAGTACATAGGCTGACTGGCGCGTTATTCACCGTCTTTTTGGAGAATGATGCAGCAGCCAACGATATTTCTAGTGCTCACGGTGTTCTTGCGTCATCTGTAAAGTGCCCAAAATTTAAATCCGAGTGTCAGTATCATTCAGAAAGCTATACATGGTACAGTACTGTAATAAGAAACAGACGCTAGCAAAGTGAAAGAAATCACAGTTAATATTCAGAAAGTATCTCGAAGACTATAAATTTCTGACGGAAACGTTATCGAAGAAGTTATTATTTTTCTCTATCTAACCATATATGACTCAATATTCAGGTCCATGGTGACACTTAATGAATATTGACCCTCACACATGAGCTTATTGCTTTTTCTGTTAAGGGTTAAAGAGATTGTTACATACAGTACTATAATTAATAATTACTGTTCTCTGAAATGGGTCCAGATTAACCAGCCACTTCTTTTGAATATGCTTCTATAGAAGATAACTTTTTCTTACCTCAAGAATGTCAAAACTGATGGAAGATTTTGATTTTTGTAATTTTGCTTTTCATTAGTTCTTGTTATAAATAGATACTGAACACTGTCCAATCGAAGATGCCATGTTTGACCGATAATTATTCCACAAACACCAGTAAACGATTTAGGTATGAGAAACAAGAAACTTCGATGCGATTGTTTATGATAAATACAGTGATGGTAATGAAAATTTAGGTAAATGCATAATTATTGATGTGACAGTGGATTACACATCTACACAGGTGGATGTGTAATATGACACTGAAAGGCATGAGACCCTGTTCAGAGCTAAGAGGGTGACTGAGTATTGAGAGTATTGGCAACATTTTACATAGAGGCAGGTTGAGGTGGCTTAGGCATGTGGGGAGAATGCATGAGACCATTTGGGTCAAGAGGTGCATGAGCCTAAATGTGGAGGGGAGGAGAGCCAGGGGCAAGCAGAAAATAGGGGGATATTTTAAGAAATTACATTAGAGCGAAGAACCTGACAAGAGAGGCTGCAAGAAACCATGCAGCATTGAAAGTTGCTATCAGGTACTGTAATAGCGGCTAACTTGCACAAGTGTGGAAAATGGTCATAAAATATTGATGAAGATGAGTGATTGAAAAAACCTCACTGAAGTACAGTACTGTACTCCTAGCTGTTTTTATGAGGAACATGAGCAGAAGTTGGTAATTCTTGATGCTTTGCTCCTGCTAAAAGGTGTTTAGACTTAGTACCTGTAGTGAAAACACAACCAACTCATCAGGAGCTGTTTTAAGCACTGAATAATTTTGCTGAAATTCACTTCTATTTTAGCATAGGATTTAAAGGTAATTCTATTTGACAAGATTACAGTTACAGTATTTTAAATGTACTGTAATGTGACTATCAATGCTCCTTTTTTTCAGATTATTGGATGATTGTATTTCTTCTGACAAAGCTCCAATGTAACAGAGATTCGTAAGTTTTACAACCAAACTGAATATCCTGAGAATTTATTAATGTTAAGATGTTTGTGATATAAATTTGATATATCCTCCATACTCACTAATATGCAGGGCTGCCAAGAGCTGACCAGGGCCCTGGGAAAAGATAAATTTATGGGCCGCTTTTACAGACATTTAATATTTATATCCCCCTTTTTCTGGGTCGTGAGATTTATCCTGGTGGCCTTGACAAGAGGTGCAGTAGAGCAGGATGTTGCTAAATTAAAGTGTTCTGTATGTGCAGGTAGCCATGTTGCCTTAACAAGGCTGGAGAAACTCAACATTGGGGACCCCAGGACTTTGTCGATGAGTTCTGTTACCTAGTTATCATAATCAGTGAAGGGGGTGCTGAAACTAGCTCAGTTGCAAGTATCATAAGTGGCTGGAGGAAGTTGCTGCCTTTATTGATGGCAAGAGGACTTCCCTCCTTGTGAAAGGAAAGATGTATGCAACTAGCATGAGAACTGTGATATTTTATGGCAGTGAAACATGGGCAGTTCAATAGGGTGGTGTAGGCAGGCTTGAGTATGCTGAAATGAGAATGGGGAGGTGGATGTGCAGTGATGCTGAAAGATACGAAACCCTGTTCAGAACTAAAAGTTTTTGTAAGGATAGGCTGAGATGGTTTAGGCATGTGGAGAGAATTGATGAGACCAGTTGGATCAAGAGATGATTGATCCTTAATGTGGAGGGGAAGAGAGCCAGGGGCAGGCCAAGAAAGACATGGGCAGAGAATTATATTAAAAATAAGAACATGACAAGAGAGGCTGCAGGAAACCATGCAGCATGAAGAGCTGTCATCAGGTAACTGCAGCTAACCCATGCAAGTGTGAAAAATGGCCATAAAAGATCAACAATGATGATGATGATTCATATAGTAAATGAGCCGCTGCAGCCAAGTGGATACAGCACTCGCCTCCTGCCTGGGTTACTGGTTCACACCCATAACTCCCTCAGGTCACTTAGATTTGAATGGGTACTTAAATTTACTGTAGGGGAAATGAAGGTGGTGGAGCACAGTGTCAGCCACACTGTCTGCACTGCTTCTAAAGACTATCATTCCTATTGGATCCATATTCGCTTTCATATAATAAATTCTCTGTTCAAGATTATCAAGTAGCATACCCAGAGTACTTTCCTTTCTCTATCATATATTTGAAAGGTGCTGCATTGACTATCTTCTCTTCCTAAATTGCCTAGTCCATTCAAGAAAGTTTTAGGTAGTAATATTTACAAGAGCAGGAGAGGTAACTTTGAAGTGCAGTATAAGATACCATTATGATTCAACTGGGATATTTTTATTCTCTAAAAATATTTAAGCTTTTTAATGCACATATGTCATGGGATTGTTGATTTTCAGGATTGAACATTGTGTGCTAAGAATTTTTTGAAAATTGTAAAAAGAATATTTGTGATCTGTTGCAGACGAGTGTGGATGTCCTTGGGATGGCCTTGATATTTAGTTTGGTGGTGATCCTCACCACCAACTTAGCTGTTCACTCCCAAGAAAACCTTGTGACACCTACAGAAAAAACAGAAGCTCCTGCATCGTCAGAAATTAACTCTTTGCTCAATAACACAGCAAAAATCAGTATTGATTCCTCTCCTTTAGGTGGTTCATCGGCAGATTCAAACATGTCCGTCACACCAGTGGTACCAGTGTCACCCACATCTCTGCCTCCTACTGATGCTACAGTTACTTCACCCACACCAAATTATCATTCAGATTCAAATGCAACTGATTCTTCTGTAGAAGTATCTACGCTGAGCTCATCAACACAGCCCACAGTAATACCTACAACAATTACTGCCTATTCATCAGAACCATCCACAGAGCCAATATTATCAACACCAGTTACTGCTTTTTCACCAAAACTATCCACAGAGCCAACAAAACCAACTTCTACAGCAGTCATCAGCAGTACTACAATGGAACCTACAGTGATCACCACCTCCCAACCCACCTCTACTTCAGTGCCTCCCAAGCAACACCACCCTACCGTTTCTGTTGCTCTGACATTATTCATCCTTCTGGCTGTGATATTAATGATTGGTGCAGTAAGTATATCTTGTTCTTAATTCACTGTTACAGGATGGGTTTTTTTTTTTTTTTTTACATTTTATTTGGCTAACTCCAGATGATTTATTCACCACAAGTGGTTGAGAGTTTAGAATAAACATGCAGTGAATTTGATGCAGTGATACTTTGGTGAACTTATGTTCATCTTGCATAGTACTGTATTGGGACTAGTTTATTTTAAGTATTTTAGAACAAAACCCTTTGTCACAGTGTGGAGTGTAAGGCTGGCTGGAGTGATTCCTTTCTTTCTGTAGTGAGATTTAAAAGCATCTGAACCTACACTGTAATTGTTTGAAGCTATCAACAGACTATTGAATAAAGGTGAGGCAACTGATGTATAAAAGGAATGTTAAAAAAAGCATTTAACTCACTTTCAGGGAACTCTCAGCTTCTAAATAGACTGTATTTATTATATTTGTCTTTACTTAAGTTATGTATGTAATGGTATTTTATTTATTTTGTTAATTAAGAAATAAAACACACATTTATTTGATTTTGTGTGTTTGGAAGCAATATTTGACTTAGCAAGAGAAGAAAATGTCAAGTTTTAAAGCCTGTTCCTGTAGTACTGGGACCCCTCAAGTATTTATTGACATTTCTGAAGATAATATTCTTAATTACAAACAAAAATTCCAAATTATTGGTACTGTAGTGGTAAAAAGTATGAAAAATATATTAGGTGATGTATTCAGTTTTATTAATTTTGCAGGGTGTGTGGTGGATCCGTAGACGAAGACAGTTGGAACGGTTGCGTCACCAGCTTATGCCTATGTATAACTTTGATCCTACTGATGATGGGGATGATTGGGAGAATCAGCTATTGGAAGAAGAGCGTTCTCTCAGACCAGAAGCAGAGAAAGTATGTACTGTATCATGTGTTGCTATTCCATTTGTGTGTGACACTTGATATTGTACAGTATATACGTTCCAGATTGGATTTATGGGTAGAAATATAAATTGATGAGCACTATGTATTTTCTATCTTATTTACAATGCCTCACTCCTTTAGGGAGCTGCCCCCCTCCTGAAATGATTGGTTATAATAGTAGAGCCTCCAATCTGCCCCATTACTCCATAGCTTTTCTTCTGCCCTCTCTATTCCCCTTACACCTTCCTCTATTCTCTCTTTTATGTATTGTTCTGCCTTTCCATCACATGATGTAGGCAGTCTCCCTGTACACCTACAACATTACTTCTTTACACAGTCCTAGTCATTCTATTTTCTGGTATCATTCATACATATCCATATCACATCAGAGCACAACTCTTCATCCACTTTTAATTTTAGATCCTTTGCCATTGTAGTTATTTCAGACCTCTTGTATGTTTATCTAATCTCACCCATTAAAGCCAGATACAAACCTCAATTAAATATTTTCTTTGGCTTGAATTTTACAGTACTGTATACCACTGCATTCTATGTCAGTGTTTCCCTACCATATACAGTAACAAGATAACAAAGACAGACTGGTGATCATTATGGGCAACGCTGATACAGTCTCCACCTTCAGTTTGTTCTTCCACCCACTGTCCTGTTTCTCTATCTCTTCACTTCTCTCAAATTCTCCTCTTCCCCGTCATACACTACTTGGCATTATAGTAAAACTTACTGAGACATTTTAAGAGTACAGGTACTATATTTTACTCCCACCCCACCCAGAAATTCAAGATAGACCCATTCATTAGTGCTGACATTTCATAAACTCGTAATGGCTGGGAATTGTTTATTCAACCCTGGCACAACCTTTCCTGGAAAAGGACAACCTAAAGCGGACGAACTTCCTGCAGACAATATAAATACAACTACCACTGAAACAACCAGTTCATTATTGCTTATAGACTGACAGAGTAAGTTTGATTAATGGTCATCTACCAAGAAAAAATCTTTAAGAATTGAAATGCTTCACTATTAAGTACAGTATAACTCAGTGGAATTAAGGGCTAACATGACCTGAATCAGATACAGGTACTATAGAAGCCTAAAGCAAACCTCTCTGGGATGTGCATAAAAATATTCTCTCTCATCACAGTAACTACTGGTTTTCCATCTTGTATATTTCCATCTTGCCACAGAGAAAAGATTTAGCATGCAAAATCCCCTTTTCCTGGTAGGGAGAAATAGCAATGTGACCTAAAATTCATCTTTACCAGAAGACCCTTTTATCATTCACATGACTGGATGATCAGTTGTTCATGCACTCCTAACAATGCCTTTAGTGGTCCAAGATGTGAGGTAGTTTTCAAGGGTTTTAAATATTACAGCAGACCTATTCTTGTCAACAAAATGTGTAGCTTCCATCACATTTCATAAATTATAGCCTGTCTTAGGAGATGCACATTTTTGTAATCTGCTCTCAGTTTTAATATAGATATAGTTGGCAGCTTCCAGCCCCACCACTCCACATCTTCCTTAAGTAAAACTGAAATTCTTCAGAATTAATCATTTTATTTTGAAACTTAATTCACATATGGAGATTATAAATGTTTCCTTTGTATTACAACATTTCTGAAATATTCTATTAATTATTTTCATATTCAGGTCCAGTTGTACTCTGGCAATTCAACATTTGACTCCAGCCAGAAACCTTCTAATAATTCCATTCAGAAAGAATGACATTGCTAAGAAAATGGCTCAATTTTGTCTAAAAGGTAAGCTTGGATAATTATCATCATCAATAATTCCCAGTTATCTGCAGATTAATTGATAGTTCCTGACATAACCACCCAGCAGTATTGTTTCAATAAATGGGGTTGTTATAGTTTTCATTGCTCATACATAAAGGCTTATGTTAGGCTCAGTAAACTCCTGTGTTCATATTGCTGCCATAGAGAAGGTATTAATCTTCCTTGTCAACTGTGCTATTAAATATTAACAACATCTTTATGCTCCCTCTGTGGGCCTGGGGCATAGTGTGTTTGTTCTGGCCACCTGTCTATTTAGTCCAATCAGTTCTTACAGTTTTAAGTGAAAGATCCTGCAAATTGGCATAAACATTTTAAAGGGAGTAAATAGGAGCTTTATAAAATGTGTCTTACCAGAAGATTTTTCAACTTTACTGACTCTGGAAGTTTGACAGTTTATTGGAAAACTTTCACATTTAGCATAAAACATCATAGTACAGTATAGTATAGCTACTTTAGATTGTCTACATTACAGTTTCATTCTTCCTCACCTACCTTGTACTATATACAAGCCTCAGTAGTGCAAAAGAACAGGGAAATGGCATGTTGGTATCAGTAGTCTTGGCAAGATGGTCAATATTTCAATCTTTTTCTGTATATTTGAGCAGGAATGCTATTTCTCATTCTTCTTACTTTGGCCTACTGAAGTACCACCTTTATATTTCAGCAAGGAGACACAGTATCTTGCAGAGGAAGGTATATATTGGAAAATACAGTACATTACTCTGCTGTACAGGTATTCCACATTATATATGATTGAACACTAACTGAAAATTCACTTAGCCAAAAAATTAATTCTTACACTTCTTTTTTATTACCCGAAAGTGATATTTGCTTATACAAAAATGGTCCGAGCAAAAATTCAAATTGCATGTGCCAAACTCGGCTCAGGAGTCAACTGGGGTGGCCATCTTGGACAGCTGTGCTGGAACGTATTCTTGCTCACGGAGCATAGCATCATCCCCTCCCTCCCTCCAGCCCACATCATCTCCCACGCCATTCATATAGTATTTGATGAAAATGAAGCGCTCTGTCTTTATTTGTGCCATCTTATAATGAATCTGTACACAATGGCATCTAACTGCTGTGCTGATTCCCCAGCTACTGCCACTATCTCCAAAGAGACCATGTAAGCCTGTGGCTCTTGCAAACAAGCTCGAAATAATTGAGTGTTATGAACGCATGGAAGCTCAGGCCAAGACCATCCACTCGTAAGATAATGTACCAACTGTATACAGTATACATACTGTATAGTATTTTATTTAGTTTATCATTTTGGGGAGTATAATATTGTAATCTTTTGTTGATTGTAAACTTCTTTTTTTATTTCACTTTTTTGGGGGGTATAATTTTTTCTCGTTCAGCACCAACCCTATTTTTTGCATTACGTATTATGTTATTCACTATCCAAAGCTTTGATAACTGAATGGTTTTCAAGGAACCTCACCAGTTTGGATACCATGTGATAACTGTCCTGTACTGTATATCACTCTCACTCCTAAACTGTTCAAGTTACAAAAATTCTGATTATAGCATCGCCTTCCTCGACCTTATCCATAATACATGCATACACTGGGGCTGAAAGAGCTGTACAAATAACATCAGGAATCATCCAAGACTGAGAGGAGGTATTTGTCAGGTTGTGCTCCCTCAAAACCCACTTGCGTTTAGTGGGTTGGTTTGGTGAGGGGGGCCTATACATTTGAGTGTTAAGGAAAACAATAATAGGCAGATTAAATAGGTCAGGTTAGGTTCTTGGGAAAATTTTTCACCATCCACAACTTGTGTGGAATTCCTCCTCATGAGATCCTTCATTGTTATATGCCTTTAGATCTTCATACAAGCTTCGTGCCTTAGATTGTATCACAGCCAATCATAATAGAGAAAAGATGCTCCAATTTTACAGTAATATGACACTGAATATGATAATTATCTTGGCATTAAAGGATGTGACACACACTGAGCACTGGCCTTATTCTTCTTGGCTTTACCATGAATGGATTTTGCAGTCATGGTAGTCAGGTTTAGAGCAATGCCAATCCAACACTCACTCACCAGCATTATACCCTCTTAGGATTTTTTTTAAGCCTTGTGCTGACACTTGCACATTTTGAAGTCATTATGTTGGCCTTTATAATTCTGATTATGCACTATAAAGCACAAAATCTTGCATCTTACCTTCGAAGACAAATGCAAGCATGGATACTGACTGAAGCAGGAATGTCACTTTTATCCTACATTCTGTATCACAAACTACTTATCTGTATGTGCCAGCAGACAATGGCCAACCACTTCATCACTACAGGGTAAACTTGTTTTTAGCACAAAAGCCAAAGAAAACACTAGATGTTGGCGCTTAACTGCACACTTCTTTACGTCTAGTTACAGAAAATGCAAATGAGTACAAATTAATTAATAACATATACAATATTTTCATTCTCAACAATTATCATCCTCGAATAAACAAACTAGACCTTAAGATGATAATACTGCATAAAACTGTATAAGTATTGCCTATGTTGACTTATTACTCCACCACGGCAAGTACCTGTACAGTACTGTATTTCAAATTATAAATATGCAGGACTTAAACAATGAAAAATGGTAAAGTGTTTCCTAAATGTTTGTGAAACGAATATGTGAAGTGATGAATAACATGAATCCCTGTAATGAGTGAGATGCTTCAACAAATTAAGATCTGAATGATTTGTTTATGTCAGTACAGTACATGTATTTGATTAACTTTCTTCATAGATAATATACAATTTTCCTTTTTCAGAAGGTAACATCACAAGCTGCAGTATCCTGAGTTCCAGTTACTCAAGCTTTGAACGTGTTGAGTGACTCTCACATACAGTATGTATTTACTTGTGAGACTCATTACTGTTAAGGTGATTTCTATTTCGTATTTTATGAAGAGGCTCCTCCCTGTATACATTCCCTCACTCCCTAACTGATACTTCTGACAAACCCTTTTTGATGTAAATACAATAATACTTTGGATAATTGTTTTGGCAGTTACCCACCCAATATTTTCCACTTTGAGTATAATCAGAGTACATTACTCTTGTTATATGAAATTATATGAATTAATTTATAATGTTGCCTTATGGTTATTTGTATCTTGGCTGTTGCCTTAAAAAATGGCAGGTGTGTTTGAGCTTTTTTAGTCAGTAGAATTTTTTTTTAAGTACATATGCTGTCCCACTGTCACTGTGGGAAAGTTTACATCATTTTGATGATGATTTCACTTGTAGAAAATATTATAATAGAATCAGGTCTGAGAATTTTGCTCCAAATTTGACATTATCATTGCCAAATTGGTCATTCTTGAGTTCTGTGGAGATCTTCTGTAAAAAAAAATTGGGGATCTGACAGTGAAGATACGACTTTGCAAAGAAAAAACAGTTCAGTGAGAAAAGAAGATTATGTTGGAAACAAAACCAAAGTTAATGTACTAATCCCATATAATCCTTCCATAAGTAAATTGAAATAAAAATACAGTCACAGAATTTATAGTATACAAGATCAGCATAATTGTTAAGGCCATTTTCCACAATTGGTGGGTTAGGTGTGATTACCTAATGGCATGGTGTCCTGGTCGCCATCAGCCAAATTTGAAGCAAGTTTTATGGCTGGTTGCATTTCCTATTGCCAACCCACTTTTACAAGGTGGGAACTGGGCATTACCATATACAGTGTGAGAACTTTCATGCACCTTCTTAACTAGCAAGGCAGGGTTACTACAGTACTCCCTGAGGTAATCAAGAATTACTCGCTTACCTTAAAATATTGTAAGATTGTGGTAGTGTTTCCTGGAACTCACACGTAACAGCATAGTGAGAAGTTCATATATATAAAGCATGATGGATGGAACAAACGTTTTTTAATCTGTTGGCTCAAAATTGTGCTTAGTGTGTGGACCTTATGCTGTTTTTTATTTTATTTTACTCTTGTAGGCATGAATATAAGTCAGTTACCACAAGTACTGTTCCTGTACAGCACAAGAATCCCATATGAAGTCAGAGACACATTTAAAAGGTCAGCTAGAATGCTCGGATGTCATAAAAACAATATTCTTGAAGATACTGTATATGTTTCTGAATTTTTATTATATGGATGTCAGTTGAATGGAAAATGAAATGTACCCTGTGCTATTTTGCATATACTGTATATAGTGGTACAGTATATTTACTCTTTCAGTCATACTTTATTATTCAAAACTTCAGGGATCCTGCCCTTGGTCCTGCAAAGAACTCCTAAAAGTGGCTCCCCTAACTTTTTCTTTGTTATTGTTTTCAGGTTTGTGTATTCTTTACACATTATAGTCACAAAATTCTCTCTCTCTCTCTCTCTCTCTCTCTCTCTCTCTCTCTCTCTCTCTATATATATATATATATATACAGTATAGTCTGGATTTACTCAGATTTTGTTTACGCGTTTGGTCATTTATGCTGTGCCTTGCCAGAATGAAATGTTTTAATTACGCGGTAAATTTCATCATTTACGCGGTGAGCGGCTGGAGAGGTCCAGACGCGCCGCGCCATTTTTTACTCACGCGGTCCATTCTTGACCATTCGCGGGAAGCGGCGCGGTGAGGGGTGCGCATTAGGTCGCTCTTATGTTATCGCTGACGTCATATGACGTATCAGACTGTGATTGGGCCACGCATCCTCACCACCCACGCATTCCCTCCGCCGCTAGCTGGGATTGGTCTAATGTAACACGACGTGCACCTGCCACCAGAAGTCGCTGACCTAGCCGGGCCAGTCTCATTGTTCTCAGTCCGCGTATACAGTTCTCTCTTGTGCCCGCTATTCCCCTTACAATGGCTTCCGCTGGACCCCCACCACCCCAGAAAAACCTTGAATTACCTGGACCAAGCCATGATTATGTGAAGGAAATCATCGAGTTGGGGGAGAAAATTAAGCTCATCCTTGACAAAGACACAGTCAAGCATTGGTATGAAGTGTCTAATAACCTTCTGTCGAAAGTTATGGAGCCGTATGTCCAGATCTATCATGACAACATCAATGCTAGTCGTCGACGTAGTATTACAGACTTCTTCGCCCGCAACCCACCACAACCACAGCCAGCCCAAGTCAGTGATAGTGACAGTGAGGATATGGACTTTGAGGGGTTTGTCAGGGAGGCCCTGCAAACCTCTGCGAGTAGTGAAAGTGATTCACCGGAAGACAACTAATTTGCCCTCTGCCTCGGAACCAGCCGCCATCCACATGTGCCGACCCATCTCTTCTACTAACGTAAGTGTTAAACATCTTTAGATTTGTAGTTTTTTTTTTAGATATTATGTGTGTAGCAATACCATCATAAAATTATGATGATATTTTTACTACAAGGTACGTATTGTGTCGGAAAAAGTGGAGTTTGAGAGTCGGCCCAGTACATACTATTTCAATTAATCCCCAATGTTCTGTTACTCCACTTTTTCAGACACAATACGTACCTTGCAGTAAAAATAACATCGTAATTTTATGATGGTATGCACACACAATTAATGATTAAGAGATATATCAATAATATTAGGTTTTTTAACACTTACATCAGTAGAAAAGATGGCTGGGCACACGGGGATGGGGGGTTGGTTCCGAGGCAGAGGGCAGATTATTGGCCCTCACCTGTATCGCTTGTATCACTATCCACCACATATGCTTGCAGGGCCTCTTTGTCAAACCCCTCAAAGTCCATATAAGTCCATATCCTCACTATCACTAACTTGGGCTGGCTGTGGTGGGTGGTGGGTGAAGAACTCTGTAATGTTTTGATGACTGGGAGACCTTGTGCGCATCCTGCCCGGGCCGCTTCCCTCGTATATGAGTAGATGCACCGCGTAAAGTGGAAGTCTGGTTCTGGCGAGGTACCGCGTAAATGTAGAATCGCGTAAAGCGAAACCGCGTAAAGCGGGGTATTACTGTATATATGATCAATCATAATGGTATCTAAAAAGATGTTTGTATGCTTTCATTGCAGCCATAAAAGATACTTTTCTTTGGCCTTTGGCATTAATTTTAGTATTAAGGAAATTCACTTGTGAATACAGTAAGTGAGAAATAACCAATGAATGTTAGAAGTCTGTTTGGCAGCAATGTATGGTACAGGTGCAGGTATATTTAACTGAAAACTTCTTTGTATTTATTGTCACTGTGTAGGCTCTTATGTGTTAGATTGAAGTTATTTCTTTATTTCATCATTAAGAAATGGTCACATTTGACATGCAACATTGCAATGCATCTTCATAGACATGTTGAGTGGATGCCTTTACAGCAGTTATTTTCTTATTCCACAATAAAACAAATTATAGGTGTTTTGTATATGCAACAACGTAAAGACATGCACCTACATTTGCACACACAAATGCATGTACACACACAGAATGCACCTGCACCATGTAAACATAGACACAGAGGTAGTCATATACAGGTGTGTTATCGTGCACTCACTCTGTATTTGTATATCTTTAGATACCTGAACTCTGATATTTGTTTTATAAATGTGATATGTTAGTTATTTATGTTTTATAAATAATCTAGTCATTTTGGTTGATATTTAATTCTTTACGTCAAAATAACACTTACTCCGGTACAGCTCGAGCTGTACTAGATTGAATCTTTATTATTTAAACAGTTCTATTCAGTCATTTTTTATGACTAGTTTATACAAAATATAATACTGTCTGTGATTAATTATCAATGATATTTATACTGGTAATCTTACATCTTTTATCAAGCAGCTCTATATAGCCAACAAGTCTACAGGTTGAAACCCAGGGACCTAACTTGTGAAGGGGATCAAAACATAAATTAATAGTCATTCCCCAGTTTACAAATGGGATCCATTCTTGAAAAAACCTTTTGTAAATAAAAGCACACTTTCCCTTAGACTCCCAACTGGGATACGGTCATGTGAAGAAGAAAAAAATCCCCCAAATGTCTCAAAATGCTACGAGTTTTTAATGAAAATTTTGGTTTGCTTACTGATTACAAGCCAATAAGCACTTTCTCATACAACTCTACAACCATATTATAAATAATTAGCAGATGAGATTTTAGATTGCAGAATTTGTTATTATTATTTTTTTATATAGGGGAATGATGGCACATTGAAAGTCCATCCCATAGTGAAGGGGTTAAGATCAAGTTTTTAGGATCACTTCCTTTGGGGGTGAAAGCTGAGCACAACACTTGGAGCCAGTTGATACCCTACCTCCCTGTCTAACTGGCTCTACTACAGCATAGGTCTCTACAGAATTGAATTGCTTTATTGAAGATGTAAGTTTATGAATAGATGAATTATTCTGAAATCCCATTTTATAAGTGAGTTAGTATCGAGCAACTCATCATGGTGTGCTGAGGTGAGCTGGATCTCGAGTGGTTGTTCCCAGAGATGGGGTTCATAACCGACATCAACAATTTAAAGGTTTGAAGTGTCTTGTGTTTTTGCCCCAAATGTACAGTACAGTATTCACATTTTGGATTATATTAACAAATCATAGCTCTGGGGCTTGGGGTTTTGACCCAGGGGCTTGCTGGCTGTAAAGTTGCTCTATCCCAACTTGAATGTAAGATAGGATTTCAGAATGAATCCTCCATTGTGAAATATTTTCAAAGTAGTGGTTCTTTTTCATGGCATAAAATATAAACTTTTGAAAATGGTTCTAAACCTGTATTACTTGTGTATAGTACATTTTTTATTTCCAAGAGTGGCATTATTCTTTAGGTGTAAGAGCTTAGCTAGTCTTAGGCCCATCCAAAGATGCTGAAGACAACCCTGTTGTAAGGACTTTGATTCAGTATGCATTGGTGATTGTGATAATCAGTGTGTACTGAGCAGTAGGAGTAGCCACCAAGGCAGGACTGTACTGTACAGTACATCCAAGAAGTAATTATGTTCATGAATGGGTGAAGAGTGTGGTATCAATTATTTTTTAGGAAAGAACGGGCAGCTTAAGGATGATGTTGGCATGTGTGAAGATACTACAGTATTAGGGTAAATCATATATGAAGACATATTGTGGAAGAAGATGCATCCTTTACAGTACAGCAGTAAGAATGAATACATTACAACAAATAAAGGGACAATGTGTGTGTGTGTGTGTATTGGTTCTTATCTCCAGCCACCGAGCACTCAACAGTTAAAGGCAGGAATGAAAAAAAAAAAGAAATACTGTATTGTATATGTACTGTAGGTCACACTAACTAGGGATAATTGTTTGAGTGAGCATTAAAATACTGCTGATGTTTTTGCTAAATATGGATAATTTGTTATTGTTCCTACACATAATGGAAACTAGTTCATATATAGTAAATTTTACGACATCATTTACTATCATAACATCAATCAATGCCAAAATTAGGAAGGTTTGGTTAGATTAGTAATGATGTTCTTCATTTAGAGTTTATGTTTTGATTATATACATGATCATTTGTACATACAGACCAGTTGAATTAAAAAATAATACAATACAATATCTAGAAATTAAAGCTGTTTTGAAGTTATCTCTAGAAATATATATACCCTGTGTATACAGTACTTTTATAAGTACTGTACCGGTATGTTGTAGCTGCTGCATTGTATCCAAATTTCCGTTGTAAGTCCCACAGTTTGTTTACATGTATGTTTACTTTTAATGCTGGCTTTTAAACACAAGTATACTGTACATTAGAGATATACCATTGTACAGCACTAGTAACTAATATTCCAGCTTATCTCTCCCTGCCATGTTTTCATTTCTAGCCTCTTTTTAGGCATATTACTTTACTGGGTTGTAGAGGTTTTAAGGCATGGTGAGTATCACAGTAGGTCTGATAACTTATAAGTAAGTCTTGTTTCCCGATGATACTCACCATACTCAAAGATGATCATTCTCCTTTTTTTCATCTTACTTAAGCAGTTTGTATCACTCAAAAGAACAAAAAGAAGATGCATAAAAGACGTATTTTTTTTAAATACAGAAAACCTCACCCCATTGCTGCTTGGGGATGAGTAAGCCACCGGTAAAGATACCACCAACTGGCCAAGTAGTGATGAGCTCCTCTGTGCCCTCATACAAGCTCACAGTTCAGGCAACATTTGAAAATACGAAATTAAACCTAATATTTAACTGACAACACAACACAACCTGGCTTTAGATATATTGGAAAAAGCACAAGTAAAAGTAAAAAAACTGGAATGGATATTATAAGACAAAATAAATAAGACATACTATGAATAACAGCACCAACATACTGTATGGATGAACAGCAAAATATATATTTGGTAATGTTTCAACAATATTTCTTATCATCATCAAACCTCAAAAATTAAATGACATACAGTAGCATCAAAAACCCTACATGAAAAATCAGATTAAATACATTACATTAAGTGCCTTACA